CTGAGATACCAGACAGACACTCAGAAATTTTTTCCACATATGCACTGCTTCTTTGCACAGACAAACAGCCATCTTTCTCAGACAAACATTTGGAGAAACCCTCCATAGGCAAATCCTTTCCCCTAATAAACACAGGTTCAGGATTATTTCTTTCCTGTGACTGGTTTATGTCATCAACTTGACTGAACAAAGTTTTAATATCATCCCCAATCAAAAGATCCTTAGGCAATAACTTCCTTACACCAGCTATAACTTCGTGTTTAACACCATTCCATTCTAGATGGATTCTGGCTAAAGGCACATTTACAGTAAATTAATGGAGGATTACAATATTCACACTCTGGTCTGGTAAATAATCTTCCTCTTTGACAAGATCTGCTTTAACAAGAGTGATATTAGAAGCTGTAATTTGCCCTAAACAGCTTTTACCATTAACTTTTACATTCTCTGCACAAGTTATGGGTTACATTCACCTGAGCTCATAGTAAAAGCATTTACATAAAAGGTGGCAGTGTTGGGGTACATTTGGTTACACACTTAACTGCTTAGAATCAAACAACATACCAACATTGTTACAAACTGGATAGATTCTATCCCCATCTTTGCTGCTGAGAGGAACTGGCTTTTCAGGATGATACAGTTCCTGTTGTTCCTTTAGTCTCTTGAGTTGGAGCTTAAGTCTGTCCACTTTTGCCTTAGCTTCTAGTTCCTGCAATCAAATATATGCCATTCTTTGTTTATGTTCAAAACACAGGCGTTCTCTTTCAGCAGCTTCTCCTTCCATATCAGCTATGTTTTGCTTTTGTTCAAGTTCTAGCTGCTGGTTTCTCACTACAACCATTTTTGCTGGGTCTGCTTTCTTATTGCTGGCAATTAACAGATTTTTCAGTTCCTGCGCTGGAGCCTTTTGCTTAAAATACAACCCTCTCTGTAAGCACAATTCTTCCAGCCTTTTTCTGTCAGGATCTTGATCATGGGTCACTCACTGTAACTGATTTTTAACCCTTAAACTCTCCAATATCAAAAATAAATTTTGACAAGCGTGTGGTTCTGATCCAAAAACCCAATTAACCTGTGGTAATGTGCATCCCGCTGACTCCATCACTGCGATCGGCGTCCTAGCGGGGAGCCAGCTGTGGTCACTCAATTAGGGTGAACTGCAAAGAATGGGGCAACCCAATCCCCAAGAGCTGGTGGATATTCCAATACTTAGATTCACCATGTGAGAATAAAACAGCTTCTTTATTACCTTACTGGTTACTCAGAAGTCCAAACAACACAGTTCCCTTAAAGTGATCCAGCCTCAGGCACCCATCCAGGTGCCCACATCAAATATGATGACATTTTTTATAAATTTTATTTCATCATATAAAAGAAAAGGTTCTACCAATCCCCAAGGATCGGACACATTGCCTCCCACGTTAATGAATGTTTCAGATCTTACCCAAATACACGTTACAGCCAATTCTTCTTATTAATTAAAATCTAAAGTTTTATTTATAAAAAGAAAGAAAGGTGAGAGTTAAAATTGGTTAAAGGAATCAATTACATACAGTAATGGCAAAGTTCTTGGTTCAGGCTTGTAGCAGTGGTGGAATAAACTGCTGGCTTAAGTTAAGTCTCCCTAGAGTACATCCACAGCTTGGATGGGTCTTCAATCTTACTACTTAGCTCTGGAGGAACCTTTCTACAAACTGAAGCTCATAAAAATGGAGTGAATGACCCATCCAAGCTGTGGATGTACTCCAGAGACTTAATGGATAGGGAGGAAGCGGAGATGTGGTATATCTTGACTTTAGTAAGGCTTTTGATACTGTCTTGCATGACCTTCTCATAAACAAATGAGGGAAATACAACCTCTATGGAGCTTCTATAAGGTGGGTGCAGAACTGGTTGGAAAATCGTTCCCAGAGAGTAATTATCAGTGGTTCATAGTCATGCTGGAAGGACATAACGAGTGGAGTCCCCCAGGGATCAGTTCTGGGTCCGGTTCTGTTCAATATCTTCATCAATGATTTAGATAATGGCATTGAGTACACTTATAATGTTTGTAGACAACACCAAGCTGGGAGGGGTTGCAGCTGCTTTGGAGGATAGGATTAAAATTCAAAATGATCTGGACAAACTGGAGAAATGGTCTGAAGTAAGTAGGATGAAATTCAATAAGGGCAAATGCAAAGTACTCCACTTAGGAAGGAATAATCAGTTGCACGCATACAAACTAGGAAATGACTGCCTAGGAAGGAGTACTGTGGAAAGGGATTTGGGAGTCATAGTGGATCATAAGCTAAATATGAGTTAATAGTGAAACGCTGTTGCAAGAAAAGTAAACATCAAACATCATTCTGGTATGTATTAGCAGGAATTTTGCAAGCAAGACACAAGAAGTAATTCTTCTGCTCTACTCCATGCTGCTTAGGCCTCAATTGGAGTATTGTGTTCAGCTCTGGGTGCCACGTTTCAGGAAGGATGTGGGCAAATTGGAGAAAATCCAGAGAACAACCCAAATGATTAACAGTCTAGAAAACATGACCTCTGAGGGAAAATTGAAAAAACTGAGTTTGTTTCGTCTGGAGAAGATTGAGAGGGGCCATAACTGTTTTCAAGTACATAAAAGGTTGTTACTAAGAGGAGGAAAAAGAATTGTTCTCAACCTCTGACACTAGGACAAGAACCAACAGGCTTAAATTGCAGTAAGGACGGTTTAGATTGGAAATTAGGAAAAACTTCTTGTCTGGGTGGTTAAGCACTGGAATAAATTGTATGGGGAGATTGTGAAATCTCCATCATTGGAGATTTTTTAAGGGCAGGTTAGACAAACACCTGTCAGGGATGGTCTAGACAAAACTTATTGCTGCCATGAGTGCAGGGGACTGGACTAGATGACTTCTCGAGGTCCCTTCCAGTCCTACGATTCTAGAATTCCCAGTGAAGGAAATCAAGGCAGCCAAAAGACTGCTTCTGGGAATTATGCTTTCAGTGAACGACTACAGGGAACGTTGGAAACAACTGAATTGCTCTCCCCCGGCCCCATTCCTGAACACCACCAAACTCCAGTCCTTTAGGTGAAATGTGTAGGGACTGAACGATGCCATTGGTGTGGCTGTCCTGCCTTCAAATGACATGAGACAGGAAACTGGGGGACTATACTGTCCTACCAGTAAAATAAACAGGTAGCAATGCAATGTTAGCTGTGCTGGGCAAGGTGGGTGAGTTATACCTTTTATTGGACCAACATCTGCTGAGGAAAGTAAGAAGTTTCCAAGCTCTGCCTTGGGTCTATAGTACTTTAACAGGAGTCTGGGAGGTAAGACCTGACCCTCATCACCAAAAAACAAGGAATTTTCCTCACTTATTTTAATGAAAACTGGCGATAGGGGTTGTGAGACTTCCTTGGGGCGGGGGGGGGGGGGGGGATTCTGGTCAGCTCCTTGCACTTAGTTTGTGGGGAGGAAAGACTGATTAACCCCTTGTGCTTTGGGAGTAGAGGGGAAGGCTGGTCATGGTCCACTGCTCGCAATTTGGGGGCTAGGGGCAGACTCGTCATCCCCTTGCACTTTGGGAGCATGGGGCGGGGGGGGGGGAGGTTGGTTGTCCCCTTGCCCTTTAGGTGTGTGTGGTAGGGGTGGCGAGTCGGCCCTTTGGGGGTGTGTCAAGGTTCCTCCCCCACTCTGAACTCTAGGGTACAGATGTGGGGACCTGCATGAAAAACCTCCTAAGCTTATCTTTACCAGCTTAGGTCAAAACTTCCCCAAGGTACAAAATATTCCCCCCGTTGTCCTTGGACTGGCCGCTACCACCACCAAACTAATACTGGTTACTGGGGAAGAGCTGTTTGGACGCGTCCTTTCCCCCAAAATACTTCCCAAAACCTTGCACCCCGCTTCCTGGACAAGGTTTGGTAAAAAGCCTCACCAATTTGCCTAGGTGACTACAGACCCAGACCCTTGGATCTTAAGAACAATGAACAATCCTCCCAACACTTGCACCCCCCCTTTCCTGGGAAATGTTGGATAAAAAGCCTCACCAATTTGCATAGGTGACCACAGACCCAAACCCTTGGATCTGAGAACAATGAAAAAGCATTCAGTTTTTTACAAGAAGACTTTTAATAAAAAATAGAAGTAAATAGAAATAAAGAAATCCCCCCTGTAAAATCAGGATGGTAGATATCTTACAGGGTAATTAGATTCCAAAACATAGAGAACCCCTCTAGGCAAAACCTTAAGTTACAAAAAAGATACACAGAGAGAAATAGTCATTCTATTCAGCACAATGCTTTTCTCAGCCATTTAAAGAAATCATAATCTAACACATACCTAGCTAGATTACTTACTAAAAGTTCTAAGACTCCATTCCTGGTCTATCCCCGGCAGAAAAGCAGCATATAGATACACACACAGACCCTTTGTTTCTCTCCCTCCTCCCGGCTTTTGAAAGTATCTTGTCTCCTCATTGGTCATTTTGGTCAGGTGCCAGCGAGGTTACCTTTAGCTTCTTAACCCTTTACAGGTGAGAGGAGCTTTCCCCTGGCCAGGAGGGATTTCAAAGGGGTTTACCCTTCCCTTTATATTTATGACACGCCCCCCAAATCTCAGCTAGGGTGAAACACTGGCTGGGATTTCTTCCTGGAGCTCTAGGAAAAACAGCGTTAATAAGACACATGCATCTCTAAATATACTACCAAGTACATAAAGACTAACAATATTTTCCACATCTCAAGGACGATTTTAACCAGTTGATTCTGGGAAACTTTCACGGGAGAGTGCATCAGCCACTTTGTTAGAAGCTCCTGAGATGTGTTGGATGTGGAAATCAAAATCTTGGAGAGCTAAACTCCACCGAAGAAGTTTTTTGTTAGTTTCCTTGACGGTGTGAAGCCACTTCAGTGCAGCATGGTCGGTTTGCAGGTGGAAACGCCGTCCCCAAACATATGGGCGTAGCTTTTCCAGAGCGTAGACAATGGCGTAACATTCTTTTTCAGTGACTGACCAGTTGCTTTCCCTCTCAGACAGTTTTTTGCTGAGAAACACTACAGGGTGGAATTCTTGATCAGGTCCTTTCTGCATTAAAACTGCTCCCACACCACGCTCGGACGCATCTGTGGTTACTAGGAACGGTTTGTCAAAGTCTGGGGCCCTTAGTACAGGGTCAGACATGAGTGTCGCTTTAAGCTTGTTAAAGGCCTTCTGACACTTTCCGGTCCACTGAACAGCATTTGGCTGTTTCTTTTTGGTTAGGTCTGTCAGTGGGGCAGCGATTTGGCTGTAGTGCGGTACAAATCGTCTGTAATAACCAGCCAAGCCTAAGAAGGATTGAACCTGTTTCTTTGACTTTGGGACAGGCCACTTTTGGATAGCATCCACTTTGGCCTGTAGGGGGCTGATAGTTCCTTGACCCATCTGGTGTCCAAGGTAAGTCACTCTGTTTAGGCCTATTTGACACTTCTTAGCCTTAACAGTTAGTCCTGCCTCCCTTATGCGCTCAAGGACTTTTTGTAGATGTTCCAGGTGGTCTGCCCAGGAATCCGAAAATATGGCCACATCGTCAAGGTAGGCGACTGCATATTCTCCTAATCCCGCTAGGAGACCATCTACAAGTCTTTGGAAAGTGGCGGGTGCATTTCGCAGCCCGAAAGGGAGTACATTAAATTCATACAGCCCGAGATGTGTGATGAAGGCTGACCTTTCCTTGGCAGATTCATCTAGCGGTACCTGCCAGTACCCCTTGGTTAAGTCCAAGGTAGAGATGAACTGGGCCCATCCCAGTTTCTCTAATAGTTCATCTGTGCGTGGCATTGGATAGTTGTCTGGGCGAGTTACAGCATTTAGCTTACGGTAGTCCACGCAAAAACGTATTTCCCCATCTGGTTTGGGAACTAGAACCACTGGAGATGCCCATGCACTTTCAGAGGGGCGGATTACCCCCATCTGTAACATATCCTGGATCTCCTGTTCTATAGCAGTTTTAGCTTGAGGAGACACCCGGTAAGGTTGGACCCTAATTGGGTGAGCATTACCTGTGTCAATGGAGTGGTATGCCCGTTCAGTCAGTCCTGGGGTGGCTGAGAACGTTGGCGCGTAGCTAGTGCACAGCTCCTGGATCTGCTGTCGCTGCATACGCCCAAGGGTCATGGAGAGGTTCACCTCTTCCACACCACCAGCACATTTCCCTTCGTAGTAAACACCTTCAGGCCACTCAGCGTCGTCTCCTCCCTGGGCTGTAAACTGACAAACCTTTAATTCTCTGGAATAAAAGGGCTTTAGAGAATTAATATGGTACACCTTAGGCTTCCGGTTGGAGGTGGGGAATGCTATGAGATAATTAACAGCTCCCAGGCGCTCCTGGACCATGAATGGCCCTTCCCACGATGCTTCCATTTTATGGGCCTGGAGCGCCTTTAAGACCATGACCTGGTCTCCTACTTTGAAGGAACGCTCTCTGGCATGTTTATCATACCAGGCTTTTTGCTCTTTTTGAGCATCCTGTAAGTTTTCTCTAGCAAGGGCTAAAGAGGTTCGGAGGGTGTTTTGTAGGTTGGTTACGAAGTCCAGAATGTTAGTTCCTGGAGACGGTGTAAATCCCTCCCATTGCTGCTTTACCAACTGCAATGGCCCCTTAACCTCACGGCCATATACAAGTTCAAATGGGGAAAACCCTAAACTGGGATGTGGTACAGCTCTGTAGGCAAAGAGCAACTGCTGCAACACTAGGTCCCAATCATTGGAGTGCTCATTTACAAATTTACGTATCATGGCCCCCAAAGTTCCATTAAACTTCTCCACCATGCCATTTGTTTGATGGTGGTAAGGAGTGGCAACCAAGTGATTTACCCCATGAGCTTCCCAAAGGTTTTCCATAGTTCCTGCCAGGAAATTAGTCCCTGCATCTGTGAGGATGTCGGAGGGCCAACCTCCCCTGGCAAAAATGTCTGCTAGTGCCTGGCACACACTTTTAGCCCTGGTGTTGCTTAGAGCTACTGCTTCTGGCCATCGGGTGGCAAAATCCATGAAAGTCAGTATGTACTGCTTTCCTCTGGGTGTCTTTTTCGGAAAAGGACCCAGAATATCCACAGCTACTCGCTGAAATGGAACTTCAATGATGGGGAGTGGCTGGAGAGGGGCTTTGACCTGGTCTTGGGGTTTTCCCACTCTTTGGCACACCTCACAAGACTGGACATAGGTAGAAACATCCTTGCCCATTCCCTCCCAGTGGAATGACCCCCCCCCCCCCCCCAAACGGTCTTTGGTCCTGTTCACCCCAGCATGGCCACTAGGGTGATCGTGGGCTAAGCTCAAGAGCTTGGCCCGGTATTTAGTTGGAACTACCAACTGTCTCTGAGGATGCCAGTCTTCCTGGTGTCCACCAGAAAGAGTTTCCTTGTATAAAAGTCCTCTTTCTATAACAAACCTGGATCGATTAGAAGAGCTGAGAGGCGGTGGGTTGCTCAAGCTCTCTGGAGGCTTTCATCTGCTTCCTGTTCGGTCTGGAACTGTTCCCTTGATGCTGGAGACATCAGTTCCTCATGGGATTGTGGACCTAGGCTTGGTCCCTCTGGAAGCGATATAGGGGATGGAGCTGTTTCTGTTGACTGTGAACCGCTCTCCGCTGGTGCACTATGTTGGGATTCGGGCTCCGGCTGAGCCTCTTGTGTAGGGTTATCGGCTGCTGCCAGTTCAGGTTCAGTGGGGCCCTCTGGTGTTGAGGTTGCAAGTACTGGATTCAGTGCTGGTACGGGGTCTGGTGTTGGTTGTTTGGCTGGTTCCGGTTCTGGGACTGGATCCACTACTGCTGTTGCAGACATTGGCCTGGGGTCCGGGTCCATCACCTCTGACTGGGTCCTGATAGAAGTTTCCGGAACAGAGCTAGGCCTCACGGCTTGTTTAGCCTGGCTGCGGGTGACCATTCCCACCCTCTTGGCCTGCTTCACATGATTGGCCAAGTCTTCCCCCAACAGCATGGGGATGGGATAATCATCATAGACTGCAAAAGTCCACATTCCTGACCAGCCCTTGTACTGGACAGGCAACTTGGCTGTAGGCAAATTGAAAGAGTTGGACTTGAAGGGTTGAATCGTCACTTGGATCTCTGGGTTGATTAAATTGGGGTCCACTAAGGAAGCATGGATAGCTGACACTTGTGCTCCGGTGTCCCTCCACGCGGTGACCTTCTTCCCGCCCACACTCACAGTTTCCCTCCGCTCCAAGGGTATCTGGGAGGTATCTGGGCCTGTGGACCTCTGGTGTGATTCCGGTGCAATGAACTGTAATCTGTTGGGGTTCTTGGGGCAGTTGGCCTTTACATGCCCCAGCTCGTTACATTTAAAACATCGTCCAGCTGACGGGTCACTGGGGCGAGGAGGGTTGCTGGAGAACGGGGTGGTGGGACGATAAGGGGTCTGAAGGGTTCTTTGGGAGGTAGGTGGGGCTTTGGGCGGCCCCCGGTAATAGGGTGTGGTCTGGGGTGGTCCCTTCTGGTCTCCGCTCCAACTGCGACCAGTTTTCTTCTTCTCTGCCACCTCCACCCATCTGGCTCCAATCTCTCCTGCCTCGATTACAGTTTTGGGCTTCCCGTCTAGGATGTATCTTTCTATTTCCTCAGGAACACCCTCTAAGAATTGTTCCATTTGCATTAGGAAGGGCAAATTTACTGGAGATTCAACACTTGCTCCTGATATCCAGGCATCCCAATGTTTCACAATGTGGTAGGCATGTCGGGTAAATGACATGTCTGGTTTCCACCTTAGGGCTCTGAACCTCTGACGAGACTGCTCGGGTGTTATCCCCATTCTGACTCTCGCCTTGGATTTAAACAGTTCATACTTGTTCATGTGTTCTTTAGGCATTTCAGCTGCCACCTCAGCTAAGGGTCCACTGAGCTGCGGCCTCAGCTCTACCACGTATTGGTCAGTAGAGATGTTGTACCCAAGGCAGGCCCTTTCGAAGTTTTCTAAGGCCTCAGTATCATCACCTGCCTTGTAGGTGGGGAACTTTCTGGGATGGGAAGTGGTACCTGGAGAAGGATTGCTAGGGTTTGTTGGTATATTCTGCTGGGCCTTTATCTTCTCCATCTCCTCCACATACTTCCTCTCTTTTTCCTTCTCCTCCAGTTCTTTGTCCCTTGCTTCCATAGCTCTCCTGTGAGCAGCCGCTTGGTGTTGTTCTGCTTCTCTCGCTGCCTCCCTTTCTTGTTCCTTCTTCAGCCGCATGAGTTCTATCTGTCTTTCATGTTCCCTTTGTCTTTCCTCAGCCTGAAATTTGGCTAATTCCAGCTGTAGTCGAGCTGAGGATTTGGTCATTCTAACCTCTCTGTTTTTAACTAACTTTACACCCGAGGTTTAGAAATAAACAAACAAAACTTGGCTGTAAAATTTTGCTGTGCTGCAATAGAATACCTATTCTCTGATAGTGATTGTCAGCCTACAGAAAAAGACAATTCCCTTGTCTCTGCTCTGGGCCCAAATTAAAGCAAAAAACCTCCAACTGCTTGGAAACCTGCTTACCCAGCCCAAAGAAAAAGCAAATGGGTAGAACACACACCCCCTATTTACTTTTAGGAAGAAAAAAAAAAAAAACAATGGGTTGGAAGACTGTGAATTTCCCTGCAGGAGTTAAGTACCCTGCCTCCAGGCAAAAAAACCTGCAATTCACAAGATAATCCCCTTTTGTCTCTGCTTGGCCAAAGTTTCAAAGCTGCTTTCTGGACTTTCTTTCCAAAGAAAAAAAAATTTCCTTTTTAAACTCTGTATTTCTAGTTCAAAAAATCTCAACTGGATCTCAAATGATTTCAGGTTAATCCCACCACTGTGCCACCATGTCAAGGTTCCTCCCCCACTCTGAACTCTAGGGTACAGATGTGGGGACCTGCATGAAAAAACCCCCTAAGCTTATCTTTACCAGCTTAGGTCAAAACTTCCCCAAGGTACAAAATATTACACCCGTTATCCTTGGAATGGCCGCTACCACCACCAAACAATTACTGGTTACTGGGGAAGAGCTGTTTGGACGCGTCTGTCCCCCCAAAATACTTCCCAAAACCTTGCACCCCACTTCCTGGACAAGGTTTGGTAAAAAGCCTCACCAATTTGCATAGGTGACTACAGACCCAGACCCTTGGATCTTAAGAACAATCCTCCCAACACTTGCACCCCCCCTTTCCTGGGAAATGTTGGATAAAAAGCCTCACCAATTTGCATAGGTGACCACAGACCCAAACCCTTGGATCTGAGAACAATGAAAAAGCATTCAGTTTTTTACAAGAAGACTTTTAATAAAAAATAGAAGTAAATAGAAATAAAGAAATCCCCCCTGTAAAATCAGGATGGTAGATATCTTACAGGGTAATTAGATTCCAAAACATAGAGAACCCCTCTAGGCAAAACCTTAAGTTACAAAAAAGATACACAGAGAGAAATAGTTATTCTATTCAGCACAATGCTTTTCTCAGCCATTTAAAGAAATCATAATCTAACACGTACCTAGCTAGATTACTTACTAAAAGTTCTAAGACTCCATTCCTGGTCTATCCCCGGCAGAAAACCAGCATATAGACAGACACACAGACCCTTTGTTTCTCTCCCTCCTCCCGGCTTTTGAAAGTATCTTGTCTCCTCATTGGTCATTGTGGTCAGGTGCCAGCGAGGTTACCTTTAGCTTCTTAACCCTTCACAGGTGAGAGGAGCTTTCCCCTGGCCAGGAGGGGTTTCAAAGGGCTTTACCCTTCCCTTTATATTTATGACAGGGTGTGCGGTGGGGGAGGCCGGTCGGCCCCTGGCGCTGTTTCCTGACAGAGTCTCCAATGCTGAGAGCGGGGAGGGGCGACACCCCGCTGCCCCGGGAGAGCTTTCCCGCCCTTTTCCTGAGGTGGGTGACCGTTGGGCCCCACAGGTGGAAGAGGCGCGCGCGCGCGCGCCTCTCCCCGGGTTTCCGGCCCCCCCCCGCCCTTCCCCCGGCGGAGAGGACGCAGGCGGGCGGGGGCGGGGTCTGGCCGAGCCTCGCCGGCGCCTTGGTAACGGGACGTGGGAGGTGTAAACAAAAGGGGAGACCCCGCCCACTCCTGGGAGGAGGCCACGCCCGCTGGCTGCCTCGCCTGGCCCCGGCGGGGAGCGCGAGCCGGCCCCGGGTCCGGCCAGCCGTGCTGCCACGCGCTCCGGGCTGCGGCCCGCGCAGGAGAGGCGGTGTGTTTGCACGCGCGCCGGGGGGGCTCCCGTTGGGCGGGGGGAGCGTGTTCCCTGGCCACGGGGGTTGCAGCCCTGCGCCCGGGCAGGCGTGCACCATCGCTCCCAGCGCACGGGTTGGTAATCGGGCTGTTCAACGGTGCGGTGTTCCTGGGGTTAGGAGGCTACGTGGCTGGTTTGGGGCTTGGGTGTAAGGTGGCTGTAACGTCCCCTGTGCGGCTCTGGGATTGTGAGGGGCGCTCCCGGCTGGGGGACGAGTGCGAGGCCTGGCAAGACAGCCCTGCAGGCTGTCCTCAACTCGCCTTTCTGCAAGGAGAAAATAAATCACAGAAGTGTAGGGCTGGAAGGGTCCTCAAGAGGGCATCTAGTCCTCGTCCCTCCTGAGCTGAGGCAAGATTCAGTACACCTGGACCACCCCTACCTGGGCTTAAAATCCTCTAGGGGTCACCTGTTCCACTGCTGCTCAACTTCCTTGGAGGGGATGGTGCAGTGCTGATCACGTGTGAGAAAGTTTCCTCGGCGATCGAATTCTCCTGTTTCTTCTTCCCCTGCTTTGCAGCAGTGGAGTTGAAGTAGGATACTGTGGTGATAGGAGCTTAAGAAATACCTGAGAGAGAATGGTTTCAGAGTAGCAGCCGTGTTAGTCTGTATTCGCAAAAAGAAAAGGAGGACTTGTGGCACCTTAGAGACTAACCAATTTATTTGAGCATGAGCTTTCGTGAGCTACAGCTCACTTCATCGATGAAGTGAGCTGTAGCTCACGAAAGCTTATGCTCAAATAAATTGGTTAGTCTCTAAGGTGCCACAAGTCCTCCTTTTCTTTTTTCTGAGAGAGAATGTTTCCTTCCCTCTCCAATCAAAAATGCAATTTTGAAACTGCAGGAACTGAGGTTGATTTTTAAGGGGAAGGGTTGTTAATTATAAACTGTAGTAATTTAACAGAACTATTGCACATCTACCACCACTAGGTTCTTTCCCAGTTTGCTATCTGTGTAACACAGTGAGCTGCAATTTAGGTCTCTTCCCTCACCCTCTTTCTTAACTCATTGCACTTCTGATATTCAGATGGTCTCTTACAACACAGGAGAACTCCTGTCTCAGAGCAAAGCTGGAAATCTTAAGTAGACCTATGGAGTCATGAACAACTGGTGTAGATGATTCAACCAATCTGTTCTTGCCATTTACAATTAAAACAGTTCTAGCCTACTGTAGTTATCTGTACAAGACAGAAGGTTTTTTCGGTGGAGCTCATTTTATTACCTGTTCCATTTCCTTTTTGTAAATGGCCATAGGGTTGAGGGGGAATAGAGAGCAATACTGTGATATCTGCATAGCATGTAACCCTTTGCATGATTTGTATATTGCAGGTTCTATCTTCAGGGCTTCATGCTGAGTCCATCAGTTCAGGTCAATAAAAGGACTTACCATGGTAATACAAGTTAATTTTTTTAAATGTACAATTATATTTATTTATGCAGAACAATCTGTGAACTAATTGGGAACTGAGGAGTTCAAAATTAGAGTAGGAAGGGTGCATAAACTTGCTTACTAATTGTTCAGTGATAGTGTACATAATGAATAGTAATAAATGTATACAATATGTCTGTTACAATCTTGCAGATGGATTTCACTACTTCATACAGTATTGTATGAACATATTGTGCTGTTGTGTCCCTATAGTCACTGGTTAAATAAATAGCTGATTTCGCTTTAAAAGAACTGTATCTCTTCTTTGCCACCAAGTTACACTGCATCGTTTTCTTCTTGTTCATCAAACCACGGCTAAGGGATTTCCAGTGCACTGAAGACTTCAGAATGTGAAGGGATGTCGACATGTTCTTCATACAGCACTTTTGTTATATTACTAAAAAGGCACTTTGAGCAGTGTGTAAGGAAGGTCAGTACACCCATGCTGTGAGTGCACCTGACCTGTGCTCCTTATTCAAGTAAATACATGTGTACCTTATTGATCAAGGGATAAAAACGGTTCATATAACCAGCCATTTGTAAGACCAGCGTTCATTACATTGGGGTTCTACTGTATTATGAAGCTGAAAGGCTCATTTTCAAGGCTGATGAACACAAACTGACCTACCTAACGTACGTTTTAAGTTGTGTGTTTGGATGCACCAGATTCTGCTTTGCCATATTTGTAAGTAGGCAGTAGAGCATTACACGTGCTTCGTAAAATTAAAATTCTGACCACTTGGGGTCAATAAAGATTCCGTTGCACTTTCCACAAGAGTAGAAATGTCCAGCATCTTCGGAAGGTGCCAAAATACCATGATGCTGGGCATGGAATAAGAACCAGAATAGAATAGGTACTGGTTTCAGAGTAACAGCCGTGTTAGTCTGTATTCGCAAAAAGAAAAGGAGTACTTGTGGCACCTTAGAGACTAACCAATTTATTTGAGCATAAGCTTTCGTGAGCTACAGCTCACTTCATTGGATGCATACTGTGGAAAGTACACAAGATCTTTTTATACACACAAAGCATGAAAAAATGGGTGTTTACCACTACAAAAGGTTTTCTCTCCCCCCACCCCACTCCCCTGCTGGTAATAGCTTATCTAAAGATAAGCCTTTTGTAGTGGTAAACACCCATTTTTTCATGCTTTGTGTGTATAAAAAGATCTTGTGTACTTTCCACAGTATGCATCCGATGAAGTGAGCTGTAGCTCACGAAAGCTTATGCTCAAATAAATTGGTTAGTCTCTAAGGTGCCACAAGAATAGGTACTTAGATCTTGTTTGGATCTGTGAACTGTCTGAGCTATGCCTCTGTGAGATGAGGGAGGGCCATGATCTGTTCAATGCCGTACAAGTGAGATGCAGCCCTTGGATGCCTGGGAAGTTTGTAAGAGATCCCTAGGTTGGAATCCTCTAGGACAGTGCTTCTCAAGCTGTATAATGTTGGGGACCCGCAATTTTTTTTTCCAATGTGCACGCAGACCGGCAGCTGATGGCTTGCGGACTGGCACCGGTCCGCAGACCACCACTTTGAGTAGCACTGCTCTAGTGTTACTAGACATGTTGCAACATGCAAACTTCAGCTTCCTGTTCTGCAGTTTAATGGAGAGACAGGAAATGGGGACCTAGAGCTCATCAGAAATAATGAAAGTGCTTCACTGCTGATAATGATTGTAGGCAAGCAAAGTAGCGGGAGGTCAGAGGCATTTCTCACAATGAAGGAGAGAAATAGTGGTGAGACAATTGCCACCTCCCGAATAACTGTGTGGCCCCATAACAACTTGCACTTAAATACAGTGCCTTTCATTCTGACAGGTTTCAGAGTATCTTGCTGTAGCTCACGAAAGCTTATGCTCAAATAAATTGGTTAGTCTCTAAGGTGCCACAAGTCCTCCTTTTCATTCTGAAAGATCACAAAATTCTGTGGACACTTTAATACTATGGGCCAAACTTCCAGCAGGAAAGTAATTGCACTTCAAAAATTTGCCAGTGCATCTGTTTTTAGGGCACAAATGTATGGGAGTGTATTTCAGGAGGCTTGCTTAAAAATCAATCTACGTAAGCGGTGCACTTACGTCATAAACCATACACATTCCATTACAATGAGTATTCAGCAAATTATAGCTATGCAATTACTATTTGTATGAAAGTTTGTCACTTATGCTAATCGATGTCTGATTGCAAGCAGTTTGCTTTCCACGTGACAGGTAGTGTTGTATGCTAAACCTTCATTCCCTACAGCAGGGGTTCTCAAACTGCAGGTTGGGACCCCTCAGAGGGTCGTGAAGTTATTACGTGGGGGGTCACGAGCTGTCAGTCTCCACCCCAAACCCCGCTTTGCCTCCAGCATTTATAATGGTGTTAAATATGTAAAAGATGTTTTTAATTTATAAAGGGGGGGTCGCACTGAGAGGCTTGCTGTGTGAAAGGGGTCACCAGTACAAAAGTTTGAGAACCACTGCCCTACAGCTTGTGCTCTGCATTTTCCTTCGGGGGGGGATTTTGTTTTCTCTTTCTGAGGATGCTGCAGTTTGGCTCTGTGTTTCATTTGAATTGCATTTCCTCTTATTTTTACCATACATGTTCCTTCATGTTTATCTGTGGATTGATTTAGATGAGTCATGTTCCAGGACTGTGTCACTGAGTTTCCATTTATGCCTCTCTTCTGCTGACATGTACTGAGCCATGGAGGTACTTCTCATGGTTTATGTTGTAAAAATGTGGCACATGCATTCCTGTTCCATAGTGATAACGTTGTCTCCTGAAGTGATGATGATGTTCATAACTTTTCTGACTGCATCAAAGTCATTTGTTTCTCTTGTGCATCAACTGATGCATTTCTTGTGAAGAATGCATCAATCCAGTCATTCAGAAGAGCATGTGAAATTACCTGTATAACGCACTGCTAGGTAGGCAGTAACACCAGGCTACCCCATGTGCAGTGGATGTGGTGTCTGGCATGAGGACAAAGTCCAAGAGCTTTTAATCACTTAGGAAGTGTAGGTATTCTTGAATACCTTTCCTCTCGAAAATGGCTCCTCATTCCATTCTCTGCACGTGTGCTGTAGCCCAAAAAATCGCACTTCCTTCTCCTCATGGCATCCGCTCATCTTGAAGTGTTTCCATATTTCCTCTGCATGTTTTCTCTACAGATTCTTGATTAGATCTTTAAATGTTCAAAATGACCATATGCAGAGAATCTGTCCTCTGAGGCAGCACGATGGGAGCAAAGGGCCTGAGCCAAATCCATTCAATTTGATTGGAGTCTTTCCATTGACTTCAGTAGGGTTTCGATCAGGCTCTTGGTGAGTATTAAATAGATACTTGCTCGTTATAGATGTATTTGCTAAAGCAGGTAGTTATGGTTTTGCTCTTAGACGCAGTAGTAGTACATATTTATATTATGGAAGCAGCCAAAGGCCCCAGTTGGGTGCTGTACCATCCTGGTTTACAGTCTCAAGACAAACAGGCGAAGAGTAGAGGATGGTGATACGACATTTTATGTGCTTCAGAATGACATTTTAGTGCATTCTTCAAGAAGCGCTTAGTAACTACCTGTTCTGTATGGACTAACAACTTTCAGCCTGTGCAGATATAGTTTTTTAACTAGAGATAAACACAGTTTGGAGCACTAATTGACTGGTTAGATTGCTCACTTTAATCCACCAGTTTTATCAAAAATATCTATGCAGCCTTTCCTTTCTGTTGACCTTTTCACAATCTAACCTGGTCCATACAGTAGATATCACTTTGGTAGGTTTGTCCTACTATGTCATAGCTATTAGTCCATCTAACAAAATCCACACCCAGGGTAGTAGTCTGTGGTCAAGAGACCCTGGACTAACTTCACTGGGGGTGCTGCAGATCATGATTTTGGTGCAGCAGTGTAGCTTTAGGTGGGACCCCAGTACTGGGTGAGAAAGGCAGTATTGCAATGTAGGAGTGAGGTGCTCTGAGTTCTTGTAGATGGCATTGACACAATCATGATCCAGATCTATTTGCAATCCCTGGGTGTTTTGTTGCTGTTCTGCTTTTACAGGCAGGTAAAGGTGGCAAATCCACACGCAGCAAATCCAAAGGCTCCCCGAAGAAAACAAAGAAGCCAGTGAGCGAAGTGGATATCCTTAGCCCAGCTGCCATGCTCAATGCCTACTACATTTCTCACAATGCTGCTGCCTGCCTGGAGTTCCGTGGCTTTAACTGGCCTGACTCCCCCAAAAAGAAAGGGAAGAAAGGAAAGTAATAATCTAATGGATGGAAGGCAAGGGACCCATGATACATCAAGCTTCACCATGAAAAGGATTGAAAGCAAACTGATCACTCAGGTTTTTAACTCTTAAGGTTTGCCATAATCACTGTGAAGGCTAGTACTTAAGACACTCTTGTTATGATTCGAGCATAAGATAGTAAATGTTAATTTAAGATGCTTACTGTACCAGTGTAATACTGACCATGGCCGTTTGCCTGCTACTTCTGGCAGCAAATAAAACATTGCACCTCTGTGAGCAATTCTAATGATGTGGGGGGGGGAAGGGATTAGTTTTGTACTCATAGCTCCTGCTGCTACTCCTGCTCCTAGAAATCTAATGTAGTCCCTGAAAGCCAGTGCACACCAAAGCTGGTGTGTCTGCCATTGCTTAAACCAAGGGTTGCCAAAGTGCAGTCTCATAAAATGCAGCCCATGGAGACTTCATGGCCCAACATGCAGTGATCTCTCTCAATCCGAGTATCCTGGCTGAAAGCCACAAGCTTTGTGTTAAAGATTAGAGTGGCTACAAGCAGCTCCATTTTATACAGATTAAATGCAACTCTTGGATGCCTGGCAAACTGCTAACCAGTCACCTGTTGGGCAAAGTTTGTGTGCCCATGGCACGTATTTATCACAGGGCTGGTTCAAGCACATTTTATCCCATCCACTCCCACCTACAAGACCCAGGATTTGGTATGAAATGTTTTTCTTCACTATCCCACGTTCTTATGCATTGCCAGCTCGGAGGTTTGGGGCAATAGGGAATGTGTCAAGAACTGATGTATGTGGTGGGGGAAGTTAGGGGATGATTGGATAGAAGTGTCCTCCTTAAAAAGGAGGAGAGGAGAATCTGCAACGAGCCAGGGCTACAATAAAAGAGGGAGACATCCTGATTCCCTAGGATGCTCAAGTTATTGCCAGCATGAAAGCTTGTGCTCCACCCCATCTGGCATAACATGAGCAGGAAACTTTCAGCCAGTCTCTGCCTGGGTTATGGCCCCTTTGGTTGCAGGTTTAGCATCATTGTTTGAACAGCCCCTGAAGAATTGGACTGAAAGCAATTTCTGACTATCTTTGAAGTAAAGAAGAATTGGACACCTTTCTGAGTTCTAGGTAAAGTGTGTTATGGAGTTTGGAAGAGCAACTTAGAACCAATAATAATTTGACCCATCTTAGTATTAAATGCCTGGTAGGCCCTGCAAGATGGAGATTTCATAAAAACATAAGAATGGCTCTACGCACAGGTCTCATTTGGAGAGTTCATAGCTCTGTGGCTCTGCTTAGAGGGCCAAATACTTCCATTCTTTACACTAGTGCAAACCTGCTACTCTAGTGGTGTTGCACAGATATAACTGACCTTGACCTGTCCGCTGTACTGCCCAGCATGCCACCCTCCCACCCCCAGTGGCAGGTTCTCACCATAGAATCACATTCTACTGCCATCATCCAGCAGGAAGTCTCTGGTCCCACCATACAGCTGTGACTCTTCTTTCCCCTCCATACTGTGGCTCCAAAGAGAGAAGGCAAAGTTCTGCCCTATATGCACAGTGCATCCCAAGCTACACCAGAGCTTGAACCAGTTTTTGGATGATTTGTCAGACAGGTGTACAGGATCAATTTACAAAAGAGGCAAAAGATACTTGAGGAAAAGTGATACAATCTGATACCCAAATAAAGCTGTTGGATGAATGATGAGCCTGGATGCAGAGCGGGTGCGAAGTTCCGTCCCAGAATCCAGAAGAGATTGTGCATCCAGGCACTGGAACATATTTGTGCTTTGCCAGCTGTCCTCCAAGACTTAGTGTCTCCAGCACTTTTGGCTTATTTTCAAGGGACACTGCCCAGAAGAGCTGGGTAAATAATTCTTTCCATGCATATAGCCTCTTTCTGTGAAATGCCCGCAAGGAGCTGACATTTTCTTAAATCTCTTAATTATTCAAAGTGTGTTAAATCTTGGTTTGTAGATTGTTCATGAACACATTACAATTAAGACTATTTAGCTGTATGTCATGTGGTCTGTGTTGCTAAGTGATTCACCTGTAGCTCAAGTGAAAGGGCTCTATGTAGCTCTTGAAACAGAATGAACCAAGTTCTGTTTCTGCTGTCACTAAATTAGAAGTGCCTGTGGCCTCTCCTTCCTTTTATGCCATTTGTTCTTGCTAACAGTCACGGCAGGTGGGGCTGGAGGGGAAAATTTCCTTTTAAAAAATGGAGGAAAGAGAAAATTACCAAAAAGCAAAGCAACTATTGTGCTGGCTGCTGTGCAGCTTCTGAGGAGGCATCTCCTAAGCCTGAGAGGTAGCAAGGAAGTCTGTCAGGCAAATTGAAAAGGTCCTCACCCTGTTTCAGGCCTGAAGGGGAAGGCTTCATAAATCAGCAGAGCAACACAGCTGTAGCTCACGAAAGCTTATGCTCAAATAAATTGGTTAGTCTCTAAGGTGCCACAAGTCCTCCTTTTCTTTTTGCGAATACAGACTAACACAGCTGCTACTCTGACACCTAGCAGACAACTCCTAAAGCTTCCTCACTCACTGTTGGGCCCAAAAGCTAATCACCAGCAATTCATTCAGGTCTGTCGGTAAATCTAAAGCTTCTCCAGTTAATCTCAGCTAGGGAGGTTTGACTTCAGAAACTGGAGAACCAAGTAGCTTCTGCCAGTCCACTGAGAGACTCAGATTTGTCTCCTTGTGTGGTGAGCCTTCCCGTTTCAGGGCCTGCTGAGTCTCCTGTTCTACCTGATCTCCTGAGTGCTCCATAGAAGCTCTGCAGCAGGCCCAGCACATACAGCTCCTTCATTGACCTGCTATCCTCACAGCAGTGTATCAGTGTGGTAGATTCTCTGAGGGAGAGAATTACCATCTTTCAGTTACTCGGGCAAAGGAAAAGTGTGATGTGACTTCTATGCACTTTCAAATTACTTAACAAAACATTTGGATATTTTACATAGATTAAAAAAAAATCCTGAGTTGCATTAGCAAGGACTTTAAAAAACACCAAGAGCTTGGAAGAGAGAGAAAATCTTCTACTTTGTTGCACAAGTCACTCTCTTACTAATGAATTTAGGAAAATAACTTCCCTAAAGGCAGGTTATTCTATAACTGCCTAATGCAGGATTTCTTGCAACTTCCTCTTAAGCAGCTAGTACTGGTTACTGTCAAAGACAGGATACTGGACTAGATAGAGCACAGTCCAGTTTGGTATGGCTATGTTCCTACGTAAATCCAGCCTTTTAACATATCTGTAACAGACTGAGTATTGGCTCTGCAAGACAGATTTCAGCTCTAGGCTTAAATACGGGAAAAAAAAAAGTTTTTAATTTCTGCATGATGAGGCCTAGGACTCCACATGGGGGCTGGTGAAGTGCAGACGTTAAAGCTTTGGCCCTCGAATATAGCTGAAAAGTTGCTATTAATTTCTTATGTTTGGAAAGCTTTACATAAAGCCTTACAATATACGGTAGAAGATAAGTTTCAGAGTAGCAGCCATGTTAGTCTGTATTCGCAAAAAGAAAAGGAGGACTTGCGGCACCTTACAATTTGATACATTGCCCTGTAGACTAACAAAGACTAACAAAGACTAACAAATTTATTTGAGCATAAGCTTTCGTGAGCTACAGCTCACTTCATCGGATGCATTCATCGAAGTGAGCTGTAGCTCACGAAAGCTTATGCTCAAATAAATTGGGTAGATGATAAGGGATCCTTACCTGTCATCCCTGCAAAGCAAAGTCACATTTCCTTGTTTTTCCTCTTGTAGTAATTTGACCTCTTTGCCAAACTGTGTCATTGTGCATTCTGCTAAACGCTAGTGGAGATCATTCTTTAGCACAAATGATTGATGTGACATTAGTGCAGCCTCAGGCCTGGTCTACACCGAAAATGTAGGTCAATTTAGCTGTACCACTGCAGCGCTTGTAGCATCGATACACCCTCAGTCACTACCAGATTACTGCAGATGGTTTTACACATTCTGTTATCACAATAAGTAGGAGTCAGAGCTTGGGAGAAACGTGATTCCCCTCAGGCTCTGCTTCTAAAAAAAATAAAAAGCATCAATAAAGTTTGTCCTGCCTCAATCTAAGAAAAACTTTCTTAGGTGTAGCTCCTGCCTACATGTTATACTCACGCAAGTGAACAAATTGTTACAATGGAAGCCGGTGGTTTAGGAACTGTGAAGTTCTGAAGGGTTGGTGTGTAGCACAGTTAAAAATGTTATGTCCTAGATGGCCACACATTTGTTACAGCATTAACAGTATTTCCTCCCTTCTGCTATCTGTTGCTTAGCAGTTGTCATGCATCGTGTGCTGTTCTCAGAGTGAGTAAGATCAGCATTTCCTGTAGCAAGTTCTATGTCAAAACCATGCTGTTAAAAATACATTGGCCTCTCACCTGCATGTCCTTGGGTGGTGTGCGTCAGGGAGCACATGAATGTGGTTATCCAGTGAATGTGTGAGTGGAGGCTACATATTGGCAAAAATGTGTTTAAGCAGAAGGCACAATCCACCACACTTGGCAGCAGAAAGTTTCATGCCTCAAGCATTCCCTCTTACATACTCTTATTTCAATGCAAGTTTTCTATCACACATTTTTCATATAAAAAACTAAGTTTTAGGCCTAACCTCTGTGCTAATGTCTTTAAAGGTGACCTGGAAAGGATTTTTGGGCTTGTATCCCTTATTGCTTCTTGATGATGCAGAAAGGCCTTCAAAGTTGTACGTGTTTAAATATTTTTTCTGCTTATTTTCTACATTAGAAATATCAAGTTTGTTGTTCTTTGGTTTTGTTGGAGGACCTCTTGGATGTTTATGAGTACTAATTCCATAATAAAAGGGGCAAATATGTTGAATCTTTTATTAAAAGCTTTCTTTATCAAAAAGGTTAATAAGACATTGAAGTTCAATAGGTGTCAACAAAAATAAATTTACAAAAAAAAGTTTTCAACAGTTTGACTAAAGATACCTTCCCTTCTCAATTTTGTTGATTCTTGTGTTGTTAACATTTCACTAGTTCTTCAGTCATAATAGAGTCATGCAACCTAAACAGGACTGGAATTTCTTGTAAAAGGCCCATCTCTTGCAGGCTTTACTTTTTAAATAAAAATAAAAAAGTCAAATTTTATCCCTTTGGAAGGTCATCTATATTCCAAAAGCCAGAGGGGAAAGAAACTATATCTTTTTAAGCTTATTATTTCACTACAGTGGTAAACTCAACCATTCTGATTCTTAAGAACATAAGAATAGCCATACTGGGTCAGACCAATGGTCCATCTAGCCGATCATCCTGTCTTCTGAAAGTGACCTTGCCAGATGCTTCAGAAGGAATGAACAGAACAGGGCAATGTATCAAATGATCCCTTCCCTGTCGTCTACTCCCCACTTCTGGAAGTCAAGGATTAGGGACATCCAAAGCATAAGCTTGTGTTTCTGACCTTCTTGGTTAATAGCAATTTATGGACCTATCTTCCATGAACTTATCTAATTCTTTTTTTAACCCATTTATACTTTCGGCCTTCACAATATCCCCTGGCAATGAGTTCTTCACACAACACACACTCAACTTGTGGAAGTAAATAATACTTCCTTATTCACTTTCCCCACACCATTCATGATTTTATAGACCTCTATCACTATTATATCCCCCCTTATTCTTGCTAATAAGAGATAAGTATAATGTACCATACGTATCACATTCAGGTGGCTATACCAGATGGAAAAAAATGACTTTTTCCTGTATGCAATTTAGGTTGAAATTGCGCAGAATAAAAATGAAGGAAAGCAAACCATAATGTCACACAATAAAGCTAGTCTTCAGTGACCACTTAAGGAAGCATGGTTGCATAATAAAGATGGATCAAAACTGATGAAGTTTTAATGAAGGCAGAGCAGAATTGCCCTCAGTGCACTTGTGGAAACATTGGAGTGGTCTTTTAAGAAAGAAGGATAGAAGAATTACAGAAACATGTCTTCCATAAATCAGTTCACCCCACAAGGGAGTGTTAACAACGCTGATATTTTTTTAAAAATCGACAAAATATTTTTTAAAGATGAATAAATTAAAATCTCAGACCTATGAAGCATGAACTATAACAAACTGCATTGCTCATCTCCTTTTCATTGCAACCTGTTTTTCATCTGTCCATTACCTATTTTTGTTGTAAGCTCTTTGTGACTTGGACCTTGCTTTTATACTGCAAGAAGTTTGGCACACGGTCGGCACTACATAAATAATAATGAATGGGCTCTCATAGAGATGTCACTGTATAAATGTTGCTGAAACTACCATCTTGCCAGAGGAGATGGTGCAGAGGAGATTGACTATACTCATCCAGCATTATCACTTTTTGTTTCTATATACTGTGTCTGTTGGCAGAAAAAAGTAATTATTAACAGATTCTGTTTTGACAAGTAACTGTCGTGCAGGAGGGGCAGGCTCCTAAGAGGCCAAACTGAAGCCTTGACTGTTTTTGGTAATTAGATCCCATGGTACTGCAAAATAACAGGTGAAACCACTGCCACCATGACATTATTTATTATTTGTATTACTGTCATGCTTAAGAGTCCCAGTTATGGACCAGAACCCCATTATGCTAGGTGCTATACGAACACAGAACAAAAAGGTGGGTCCTGCCCCAAACTAGGTGTTTTGTTCCAGGTTTTCACCTTATACAAAGTCTTTTCCTGCCTGATCTTCTGCTGACCAGAGATCAGGGACTCCAAGCCTTCACAACTGTGATTTCCCCCCATCGGGCCTTCATATCACCAAACAAAACAGTATGGTTCAGCCCTCTTGGCCAGTTTGAAGGGATGCAGCTGATGACACAGACAGGCACCGAAAGACCCTCCAAGGCTGGCAACAGAGGCCATCATCCCTGAATCCCAAATACAGTTCTAAAAAAATAACCTCAGAAGGAACTCCCCTCCACTCACACCCTTCCTAACCCAATGGGCCTTTCTCAGCCTGGGGTTCACAAACCATCTCTATTCCATGCTCAGGGTGCATTACCTCCATATGGCACTCTCACCCACCTAGGAGAGACTGACTATAAAAAAAGATAATATTCTGGGCAGCATGCCCAGAGGTATCATATCACAGAACAGAGAGGTAGTACTGTAAAACCCTCTTGATATGGTTCTGGTACAGCTACACCTGAAATAGTGCAATTAGTTGGACATTTCTCCACCAGAAAGACATTGACAAGTTGGAGAGAAATTAAAAATAATTCACAGTCTGGAGGAATTGAATTATGAGGAAAAGTTAAGGGCTAAATAGGTAGAGCTTGGCAAAGCAACACATAAACTAAGCAAATATTTATCTAGGGCAGTTCAAGGAGGAAGAACTAGGACTAAAGAATTAAATGTAAGAGATGAAATATTTGGACTAAGATTAGGAGAAACTTCCTGACAATGAGCTGTATCTAGCTGTGGTTAATGCATGGCCTTAATGAATTCGGCTTCTTACAGATCCCCAAGCAAAGGAACAGTTTCTGTCTAATCCATCTATCTAGGCACGGTGGCATCAGGAACCAATTCAAAGATGATTCCTAGAATCATGCTACTTACAATCCTATTGTACTATCAACATTCTCCCTGGAGTAATGAAAAACAGCCCAGCACTTTATGAGTCATGCAAATCTACTTTATAGTCCATTACAGAACAATCACTGTAGAAAAGACCAAAACAAAGAAATAGATGCAAGGATATTTTCCCACTCTTGAGAGAGAAGGAAAAGGTCAGGCAGCAGTTTAAGACTTTCCTTCTGTACATGTCCAAAATTGCTTGTTTACTTCTTTATGTTATAATTCTTGTTCACTTGCTTGTGGCATACTGGCTATAATATCTTCTGTGATTTTCCAATCTATCTCTCTAAGATAGGTGGGTTTTTTAAAAACATTTTATCAATTTCCTTTCCATAACGCACAAAATTCTGAGAGTCTGAGATTCTAACCTCAAAGTGGTTCAAAATGTAGCCAGCTAAGTAATGCCATCCGTAATGCCATCAAAATGCCTACATTTTGTAGGAAATGGACTTCTAGCATAACTGCAGCCATGAATGCTCCTTCCACTGCACTGCTCTATACAGCCTGCTTGTTTCCAACACACCAAAGATCAACCCCGATATAAGTACAGCATTGTAATAGACACTTTGTTGTCATCCCACCTGTTCTCCTAAGATAAGCAACGTCAGTGTGTGCATGGGAGATGACTAAGGAATACTTTTGGTTATGTCTACAGTAGACTCTTGTTTTTGCTTAGAAACCTCCCCGCATTGCAGTTTCACTGGCATTCTAGGGCTGGTCTAGAAAACACGGTGCTGAAAATGTCAGTAAATGCTGGTACCCTGTCTATAGTAGTGCGCCTGCCATTGTTGCCACCAGAGGAATTGCAATGGTACTAGTGCAATGGTGGGTAATTTCTCCCCAAAAATCTAACGTGGACAAGGCCTTAGTGTATGTGGTTTTGGTAGTTCAGCAGGTTGACAGTGATACCTCTTCCTTGACTCATCATCCCTGAGCCAATGACACAGTGCAGTGTTAAGAGGTGCTATTCTGGTATTATTTATTTGTATTATTGTAGCACCTAGAAGCCCCATTCATGGACGAGACCTCCATTGTGTTAGATGCTGTATAAACACAGACCTGAAAGACAGACCCTGCCCCAAAGAGCTTACAATCTAAGTAGAAGATAAGAGACAACAGATGGATACAAGTAAATTGATGGGGGGGTACAAGGAAACAATGAGACAATATAGGTCAGCATGATCGGGAGTGGTTTTAGCACAACAGCAGCACAACCGTTGTCAAGTTTTTGTGGGCCTCCTGGCAAAGGAGAGTTGTAAGGAGGGTTTTGAAGGAAGACAATGATTTACTTTTGCAGATGTTCATGGGGAGCTTTTCCCAAGTATGAGGGGCAGTATCGGAGAAAGTACGAAGGTGCTTGTTTGAAACAAGTGGGTGATGGATGTTGACATCATGGACTGATTGGAGGGCAGAGTCAGCCTTATGATGATGTTTTCTATTGGATGAGATCTACCACCAAATCCTTGCTCATTTGTAATCATTAAAATTCCATGGCAGGTGCTAACCAATGTTCCCTCTAATTTTTGACAGGCCGTGTGCACACAAAAATTCTTCTGTGCAAATAGTTGTGCTTCTGTGCAAATTTTTGTGCGCGCGACGTTTCGCCGTGTGCGCGGGGTTTAGGATCAGTGTGTGCAGGCACACGTGCACAGCTTAGCGGGAACAGTGGTGCTAATCTCTTACCAGCGACCTAATCAAATTCAACTTTAGGGTATGGTTATGTCTTCACTGCCCAGCTGACCTGGGCTCTGATTCAGGCGTTGTCCAAATTCATCTCTCATCCACACATAAAAAACTTCTCACCCAATTTTGGTATACTGTCAGCCCATGCTAGCTGGCCCTTCTAGGTCTATAGACTAAACCCCAAGTGCTGCTTATTCTCATGCTGGTAACCCATCCATTTTGCACTGTGGCTGTAGGCTAATTAACTTGGTGCTGCTAGTTCTCCAGTTCCTCCCGAGCAATATTTTCTTGCCATCAACCCTCCTCTCTTTTTCTACAGTGGAAGTCACTGGTTCAACTTTTAAACCCCACATTGCACAGAGGCTGCACAACTGGCAACAGTTCTACACTTCTCCTGTGCTTCCACACCACTGGAACAGAGGAGATAGCATCTGGGACATTATCCTGCCAGCTGGCCAGAGGCTGACACCAAGGTGTGGATAGCCCTTACAACAACAGAGAGAGCCAGGAACTTCAATGCAAAGATTGTAATATAATCTCAGATTAATACATAGAATTGATAAACTGCTACACCACCCTAACATTGTGCTCACTTTATCCCTTTTTCCCATTTTCCCCTCCAAACCAAGGATGTGGAAATACAAGGCATCCATTTCTACCCTCACTCACCTGGATCCAATCCAGTTATCAGAGGGGCACTTTCTGACGGTTTATACCAAGCCTGTAAGCCAGCCCAGTCATGAATCTATTCTTGGCCAACGTACGCCCTCTTCTCTTCACATGTATTGTATAGTGCATAGCATCTCCCAGTGACCTGAAGGGCATTACATGCACTAGCAGCCAACCAGTTTTGTAGGCAATGCCACCTTGCGTTCTGTTGGACAAATGTACATTCTACCACCATCTTACAACTATGAAACCTTCTTCCAGGTGTTCTCACATCAGGGCAGGGCTTCATGAGCCAGGGCAGCAGAGAGTTGGCTGGGTCTCCCAAAACAACAATGGACACAGACCTTCCCTCCCCCCCTCCCCACCGCCGCCCTTGATAGTCATATTGGAGGGTGGAAATAAAGTCCCACTTGTCCAAATTTGAAAACACCAGCTCTCTGAAATACACTGGTATCATGCACCCTATCCCTGCTTCCCATACTGGTGTCTATGATTCTCCTTCCGTGATTAACTCACATAAGTAGTGAGTAGTATCCTTTTTGATTTACAAACTTATAAGCATCTTGGGTGGGGGAGGGGGCACACAATGGACATATGTGTCCCTAGTGGCCCCAAGACAGTTCGGGAAGCTCATTTGCTCAAATTTATTTCTGGGCCATTATCAATCTTCACCACACTTGGGTGAACCACAGCAATAATTGTCTTGCAAACATCCATCCCCACAGCACCGCCATCCCCACAGCACCGACGGTTCAGTTGCCAATGCCAAATTGACCAGCAACAGACCTGCAGCTGTCTGGGGTAGCCAACTTCCAGATAGTAATAGTAAATCTGCTTCTGGACTAGTATGGCCTGTCTCAGCTGCATGTCCTGGCACTGAAAGGTGGGGAGCAAGTTCCTCAAAGAAATGTGGCCTTCTCCGTGCAGAAGTTCTGGGTCCACTGCTGGTCATCTCAGGTCTGAATGATGATGTAGTACCAGCATGCCGAGCTTGTAGCCCTGCTCCAGAGCCACTGGTCAGCAAAGGGGGACTTCACAGCTATTAAAACTTGCATTCAGTTTCCACTGCTCCTTGTCTGCATGCAACCTGTGTGATCTCCTTAGCAAGCCACGCTGCCCTCTGCTCAGAGTGCCAAGCGGCTGTCAAAATACCCTCCACCATTTCTCATGCCTTGTTTCTACCTGCTGGTTCTGAAACGAGAGTTGCAGTAATGCCAACATTTGGAACAGCTCATTATCCTGAGTTGGATCCATGCCCTGTGACTGGCTGGAATGGAAGCCACAGACAGACATCTAAAGCAGGCCAAGCCAGAAGTGATTTGCTTTACTGAGCTGGTAGGCTAAGCCCACTTCCGCACAGGAGCCTAGAAAGGACAGACAAGTTCTCTCACCATACACTGCAAGCTGAGCAGAGGTAAGACCTTCAGGGTGTGACCCTAGAAATCTTAGTACCTCACATGAGTGTGGATGCAGCAACTCGAGTAGGACTATGCAGTGTGAATACTCACACCTGAGCTAGGCTAACTGGGTGCTAAGACTCAAGTGCCCAGCACTCAGATTAACTCTGCAGTGAAGATATACCTTCAGTTAAGTTCATTTTGCATACTTAAAATGCACCTGTGGTTTCACTTGACTATAGTGTAGTCTTCATTTTCTGGCCTAACTGGTTAGTTAGTATTGCTGGGTGCTGCTGAAAAGTTGCCGTGTTTCATTCCAGACGTAGCAGCATTTCAGTTAGTGGCTGAAATGATCCCAGTGTATAGTCTGTATATTGATTTATAAAGTGCTCTGAGGTCACAGGAACATAAAAATCACCATACTGGATGGGACCAGTGGTATAGTGGTCAGTACCAGATGCTTCAGAGAAAGTTGTAAAAGCTTTCCTATTGGGCATTTAGGCACTGACATGCCCATGGAGAAAATTTCTTTCTGACTCCACGGCAGTTATTGGAAGACTGGTTTTCTGAAGCAAGAGGGTTTATATCCCTTATAAATTTTATTCTATCCAGTCTAACGGCACCTAATTGTTTTTTTAATCCAACTTAGCTCCCAGGACCATTAGAGACAAAATGTGTTATATAAGTTTAAAATCATTACCATAGATATTTTCCTCTGCAGATTGCAAATTTGGAATTTGCTTATGCCTTCATGTCCAGGCTCACTTCATGTCCAGATTCCATCTACAAGTGTTTATAGGACAAGTGATAGATAAGAACTTGTCTCAGCACATCATGACCCATGCTCTTTGCTTCACTGGTGATGGCAGCCTTTTCTGTTCACTTACCGATTTTCCCCACAAACACCTTTATGCTGTCCCTTATGTGTGGAACAAAATTCCCAAACAAATTTGCATAATCACTATCCTGTCCTCCTTCAAGTTCATTCTTAAACCACACTTCTACTGCAAAGCTGATAGTGTACCCATGTTTATTACTTTTGACCCCTCCCCCCCCCATTTATGTTTTATATGCCCCTCTCATGTCTTTATTCCTATTTAGATTACAAGCTGTTTGAGGCAGGGAGTCTCTTTTATTTTATTTTATGACTATGTGATTTGGAAGTGGAATCTTATGTCTCACAAGCTGGAAATGGGACCCGCTGGTCTCCTCATAAATCGTCTCTCCCAGCCTACCACCACGACCCTTCAATTGGAACCGCCATGGGAATGTGACCAGGCCAGTGGTGTTCAGCTCCATATCAGTGGCCATTTTGGAATCCTTGGGGATTCCTCCATCTTCCAATCTTTCCCTCACTGTGCCTACTTGGCGCCCTCCTCTAGAAGGGCAGAGTATATGCAGTGGGCAGTTCTGTCTCCAGAGTCCAGTACCGAGCACCAAGAACCAGAGCAATACCTGTAGAAGAAATTCTGCCCTTTCCAGTCTTGGCTTCCTCTTCATCCCCTCCCGATGAAGTTGTTTTGTTCAGGGCAACTTCACCCTCTCCTGATGATTTAAAAGTTTATCAGGAGTTGCTAAAGAAAGTGGCCGCAGACTGGGGCATACAGATCAAGAAAGTCAGGGAGTCCTCACCTTGACACCTTGCCATCTGTGGGTGCCTCCAGGATAGCTCTGCCAATTAATGAGGTAATACTAGGGCCTATAAGGGCTTTATAGCATCTTCATTGCCTCCCACCTCAAAAAGGGCAGAAAGAAAATACTATGTACCCTCCCAAGGTTTTGAGTACCTTTATACTCATCCACCACCGGGCTCGTTAGTCATGACAGCGGCTAATGAGAGAGAGCAACAAGAGCACCAGGCTGCCACCCCCAAATATAAAGACACTAAGAAGCTAAATTTATTTGGCAGGAAGATTTATTCAACAGGGTGTTGACATCTGCGTATTGCTAACCAACAGGCTTTGCTGGGGCTGTACGATTTTAATGTATGGGGCTCCGCAGAGAAATTCAGAGATCTACTTCCCCACAGAACATAAGAGCGGCCATACTGGGTCAGACCAAAGGTCCATCTAGCCCAGTATCCCGTCTTCTGACAGTGGCCAATACCAGGTGCCCCAGAGGGAATGGATGGAACAGGTAATCATCAAGTGATCCATTCCCTGTCGCCCATTCCCAGATTCTGGCAAACAGAGGCTAGGGACACCATCCTGGCTAATAGCCATTGATGGACCTATCCTCCATGAATTTATCTAGTTCTTTTTTGACCCTGTTATAGTCTTGGCCTTCACAACATCATCTGGCAAAGAGTTCCACAGGTTGACTGTGCGTTGTGTGAAGAAATATACAGAACATTAGGCAGGAGCTCACTTCCCTGGTCAATGAGAGCAGCCTGGTTGCGAGAACTTCACTGCAGATGGGGCAGGATGCAGCAGACTCGGCAGCTTGAACCATGGCTTCCATGCCCAGATCATCCTGGTTACAGTCTTCTGGTCTCCTCTATGAAGTCCAGAATACTATGCAGGACTTGCCATTTGAGGGTCCTTCTAGAATTCTACATAGACAAAACCAAGCACTTCCATAAATCATCCCAGCTGTTCATAGCAGTGGTGGACAGAATAAGAGGACAGTCAGTCTCCACCCACAGAATTTCTTACTGGATCACCTCCTGTATATGCATGTTCTATGACTTGGCCAACGACACTCCGTCTAGCAGAGTCACTGCTCATTTGACAAGGTCACAGTCGGTCTTGGCAGCCTTTCTGGCACATTTCCAATTGGACACATTTGTAGAGTGGTAACTGGTTCTTGGTCCACACATTTGCTGCCCACTATGCTGTGGCTCAGGACTCCAGAGATGATGCTAGAGTTGGATGGGTTGTTCTCCAATCTTTATTGAAATAGACTCTAATCCCGTCTCCTGTTTTTATGGCTTGTGAGTCACCAAGAGTGGAATGCACATGTGCAATCACTCAAAGAAGAAAAAAACGGTTACTAACTTGTTCAGTAACTGTTGTTCTTTGAGATATCATAGAATCATAGAATATCAGGGTTGGAAGGGACCTCAGGAGGTCATCTAGTCCAACCCCCTGCTCAAAGCAGGACCAATCCCCAATTTTTGCCCCAGATCCCTAAATGGCCCCCTCAAGGATTGAACTCACAACCCTGGGTTGAGCAGGCCAATGCTCAAACCACTGAGCTATCTGTTGCACAAGTCAATGCCACAACCCACTCTCCTGCCCCTCTACATTGGAGTTCCAGCAAGAAGGAACTGAGAGGGACTAAGGGAAGCCCTGCCTTTTATATCTGCACACAGTGGCATGTGGAAGTAGGGGGAGCTCATCAACCCAGTAAAAAGTGTGAACTCCTAAAGCACTTTAACACTCTTATGATGGAGTCAGAGACAGTCCTCTGGGCATTTTAGTCTATCTTGCCACCCAGGCAAGCTGGACTATATGATAGATGGTCACTTTACACCAAAGATCACAGCAATATTCAGTTTATTGCCAGTCCTAAAGGACCACTCATTTACTCAGGTCAATTTTACTCAGATCTCAAATGAGAGACAACGCCTGTGGTCAATCCTGTAATACACTAACTAAAGCTTTATTAACTAAGAGAAGAAATAAAGAGATTAAAGCCAGAAACATACATACACAAATGAGGTGCAATTTTAAGTTCAAAAGGTAATAGAAGCTTCTATAATAAGCAAACTTTTATGTCCTTTGGGGCTAACCCAAGCCAAGCAAGTTGGGGATTCGTTGCATTGGTCTTCACAGCAGAGAACGTGAGGGAGATTCCCACACCGGAGCCATTCTTTTTAGGTGACAAATCTGAGGACGTGTCCCAGATTGAGGTGTCATTAGAGGAGGTTTTGGAACAAACTGATAAATTAAACAGTAATAAACCACCAGGATCAGATGGTATTCACCCAAGAGTTTTGAAGGAACTCAAATATGAAATTGCAGAACTATAAACTGTGATATGTAACCTATCAATCATTTAAATTAGCTTCTGTACCAGATGACTGGAGGATAGCTAATGTGACACCAATTTTTAAAAAAGGTTCCAGAGGTGATCTTGGCAATTATAGGCCTGTAAGCCTAACTTCAGTAGTGGACAAACTGGTTGAAACTACAATAAAGAATTATCAGATGCATAGATGAACACAATATGGTTGGGGAAGAGTCAATGCGGCTTTTGTAAAGAGAAAGCATGCCTCACCAATCTATTAGAATTCATTGAGGGGGTCCACAAGCACAAGGACAAGGGTGATCCTGTTGATATAATGTACTTTTAGACTTTCAGAAAGCCTTTGACAAGGTCTCTCACCAAAGGCTCTTAAGCAAAGTAAGCTGTCATGGGATAAGAAGGAAGGTCCTCTCATGGATCAGTAACTGGTTAAAATACAGGAATCAAAGGATAGGAATAAATGGTAGTTTTCAGAATGGATAAAGATAAATAGCAGTGTCCCCCAGGGCTCTGTATTGGGACCAGTGTTGTTCAACATATTCATAAATGATCTAGAAAAAGGGGTAAACAGTGAGGTGGCAAAATTTTCAGACGATACAAAATTACTCAAGGTGGTTAAGTCCAAAGCAGACTGCGAAGAGTTACAGAGGGATCTCGCAAAACTAGGTGACTGGGCAACAAAATGGGAGCTGAAATTCAATGTTGATAAATGCAAAGTAGTGCATATTGGAAAACATAATCCTAACTCCACATACAAAATGAGGGGGGGTCCAAATTAGCTGTTACCACTCAAGAAAGAGGTCTTGGAGTCATCGTGGATAGTTCTCTGAAAACACCTGCTCAATGTGCAGTCGTGGTCAAAAAAGCTAACAGAATGTTAGTAACCATAGGAAAGGGTTAGATAATAAAACAGAAAAATATCATAATGCCACTATATAAATCCATGGTATACTTCCACCTTGAATATTGCATGCATTTCTGGTCACCCCATTTCAAAAAAGCTGTATTAGAAATGGAAAAAGCACAGAGAAGGGCAACCAAAATGATTAGAGTATGGAACAGCTTCTGTATGAGCCAAGATTAAAAAGACTGGGATCGTCGAGCTTGGAAAAGAGGTGACATGGGGAATATGCTAGAGGTCTATATAATCATGAATGGTGTGGAGAACGTGAATAAGGAAGTGTTATTTACCTCGTCTCATAACACAGGAACCAGGGGTCACCTGATGAAATTAATAGGCAGCAGATTTAAAATAAACAAAAAGAAGTACTTCTTCACACAATGCACAGTCAACCTGTGGAACTCATTGCCAGGGAATGTTGTGAAGGCCAAAACTATAAATGGATTAAAAAAAGAATTAGATAAATGCATGGAAGATAGGTCCACCAGTGGCTATTAGCCAAATCGATCAGGGATGCAAACCCATGCTCTGGGTGTCCCTGAGCCTCTGACATCCAGATGCTGGGACTGGACAATAGGGGAGAATCATTTGATGCTTGTCCTGTTCTGTTCATTCCCTTTGAAGCATCTAGCACTGGCCACTGTTGGAAGACATGATACTGGCTTAGATGGGTCATTGGTCTGACCCAGTATGGCAGTGGTTCTCAAACTAGGGCCACCGCTTGTTCAGGGAAAGCCCCTGGCAGGCCAGGCTGGTTTGTTTACCTGCCGCGTCCGCAGGTTCGGCCAATCGCGGCTCCAGTTTATTCCACAGTCTCAGACTGGACCCTCAGAAAGTTCTGTTTCCTGCACTGGTGAGCTTTACCCTTATTGTTGAAAGTTACAGTGTGCCCAAGGAGTGCACATGTCTATCACAGCCTTCCCCAGAACTTTAGGCAGTATTTTTGATATCCTGGACACAGGGCATGGAGTGCCTTGGAGATAAGGACTGAGAACTTGAGTCAGCCCTTGCTAACACAGCAATCATAGTTCCTTGCTAGCATGGCACAGCCCTTCCCAACATGGCATCCAGTGGCCCGCATCCTCTCTGTAGGGCTTCGGCTTTCCTAATGTGCTTACATGTGCCTGATGGTAGTTTTCTCATTTCAAAATTCTGTGGCCCTCTCCTTCCCACCATAGCACCCAATGGCCCATACTCTTCACTACTAGGCCCTGTCTGTCCCGCCACAGCACCCAGTAGCCTATACCCCTCCTCCACCCCAGCACCCAATGGTCCATACCCTCTATCACAGCACCCAGTGGTCCATGCCTCTCCTCCACCCCAGCACCCAATGGTCCATACCCTCTATCACAGCACCCAGTGGTCCATGCCTCTCCTCCACCCCAGCACCCAATGGTCCATACCCTCTATCACAGCACCCAGTGGTCCATGCCTCTCCTCCACCCCAGCACCCAATGGTCCATACCCTCTATCACAGCACCCAGTGGTCCATGCCTCTCCTCCACCCCAGCACCCAATGGTCCATACCCTCTATCACAGCACCCAGTGGTCCATGCCTCTCCTCCACCCCAGCACCCAATGGTCCATACCCCTCACAGCAGGGCCCCTGCTCTGCCCTTCCCACTGTGAAGCCTGAGCCCAAGCCCTTGGAAATCCACAGGTCTCTTTCTACTGATTTCCGAGGGCCTCAGATGAAGCCCATAGGGTCCAGCTCTCCTTTCCCCCGCTTATCAAGCTGGGGGCTTGACCTGCCTAAGATGGCGCTCCTTCCCCCCCTTTTCTCATCGCGACAGGCCCCCGACCTCCCAAACATGGCGCCCAGCGCCCCATTAATTCTCCCCTTTCACTGTAGGCCCCCGACCTCCCAAACATGGCGCCGGCCGGCACCTCCCCCCACCACATCCCTCCTAATGCCATGCTGGGCCGTGCCCTCCTCATCATGGCGGCGGCGCCGGCCCGTGACGTCACGCGTCCTCGGCCTCCTCCTGCTGCTGCTGCTGGTGCCCGCCTCTCGCTCGCTCGCCATTGCGGCGGCTCAGGGCGAGCCGCGCCGTGTCCCCGCTCGGCTCCCTCCCCGGCCGCCGCCTGGCAGTGGCTCCACGGCGCAGGCCCGCTGCAGCGCAGCCGCTCTGAGGTGAGTGTCCTACCGCGCAATCTCCCAGCTCCTCCAGCCCCGGCGCAGCCGCAGCAACGCGGGGCCCCCGCCGGCTGCCCAGGCACCCCGCTCCGGAGCCCGCGCCGCCGGCTCGGCCTCTCCCGGCCCGGCCGGGTCCCGGCCCAACTCCCACCTCGGGGAGGCGCAGGCCGCGCTAGGCCCGGGCTGGGGAGGCGGCGGCGGCGGCGGGGGGGGCTGGACCCCCCCTGCCCCGGGGTGGTCTCCCCGCGCTCGGCTCTGGGAGGGGTGGGCTGAGGGAAAGGCGCGGGCGGGATCCTTCGCGCCCCCCCCTTCCCCCGTGGGGTGACCTGGGCGCTGCTGCCGGGAGGCGAGGGAAGGGGGGGCTGCTCGCCCACCCCGCTGGGGAGCAGGATCCCTGCCTGTGACCCACCCCCCTTTCTATCCAGGGGTGGGGAGAGGGGCCGATCTGCCACACCTGTGGGGAGCAGGATCCCTCCCCCCTTTCTATCCAGGGGTGGGGAGAGGGGCCGATCTGCCACCCCTCTGGGGAGCAGGATCCCTGCCTGTAACCCCCACCCCCCTTTCTATCCAGGGGTGGGGAGAGGGGCCGATCTGCCACCCCTCTGGGGAGCAGGATCCCTGCCTGTGACCCACCCCCTTTCTATCCAGGGGTGGGGAGAGGGGCCAATCTGCCACCCCTCTGGGGAGCAGGATCCCTGCCTGTGGCCCCCCCCCCCTTCTATCCGAGGGTGGGGAGAGGGGCTGATCTGCAACCCCGCTGGGGAGCAGGATCCCTGCCTGTGACCCCACCCCTTCTTTCCAAGGGTGGGGAGAGGGGCTGATCTGCCACCCCTCTGGGGAGCAGGATCCCTGCCTGTAACCCCCACCCCTTCTATCCAGGGGTGGGGAGAGGGGCCGATCTGCCACCCCTCTGGGGAGCAGGATCCCTGCCTGTGACCCACCCCCTTTCTATCCAGGGGTGGGGAGAGGGGCCGATCTGCCACCCCTCTGGGGAGCAGGATCCCTGCCTGTGGCCCCCCTTCTGTCCGAGGGTGGGGAGAGGGGCTGATCTGCAACCCCTCTGGGGAGCAGGATCCCTGCCTGTGACCCACCCCCCTTTCTATCCAGGGGTGGGGAGAGGGGCCGATCTGCCACCCCTCTGGGGAGCAGGATCCCTGCCTGTGGCCCCCCTTCTGTCCGAGGGTGGGGAGAGGGGCTGATCTGCAACCCCTCTGGGGAGCAGGATCCCTGCCTGTGGCCCCCCTTCTATCCAGGGGTGGGGAGAGGGGTCAATCTGCCACCCCTCTGGGGAGCAGGATCCCTGCCTGTAACCCCCACCCCTTCTATCCAGGGGTGGGGAGAGGGGCCGATCTGCCACCCCTCTGGGGAGCAGGATCCCTGCCTGTGACCCACCCCCTTTCTATCCAGGGGTGGGGAGAGGGGCCAATCTGCCACACCTCTGGGGAGCAGGATCCCTGCCTGTGACCCACCCCCCTTTCTATCCAGGGGTGGGGAGAGGGGCTGATCTGCCACCCCTCTGGGGAGCAGGATCCCTGCCTGTGACCCCCCCCCCTTTCTATCCAGGGGTGGGGAGAGGGGCCAATCTGCCACACCTCTGGGGAGCAGGATCCCTGCCTGTAACCCCCACCCCTTCTATCCAGGGGTGGGGAGAGGGGCCAATCTGCCACACCTCTGGGGAGCAGGATCCGTGCCTGTGGCCCCCCTTCTATCCAGGGGTGGGGAGAGTGGCTGATCTGCCACCCCTCTGGGGAGCAGGATCCCTGCCTGTGACATCCCTCCCCTTCTATCCAGGGGTGGGGAGAGGGGTCAATCTGCCACCCCTCTGGGGAGCAGGATCCCTGCCTGTGACCCCATCCCTTCTTTCCAAGGGTGGGGAGAGGGGCTGATCTGCCACCCCTCCCCTTCTATCCAGGGGTGGGGAGAGGGGCCGATCTGCCACCCCTCTGGGGAGCAGGATCCCTGCCTGTGGCCCCCAGTTCTGGGATGGGGAAAATAAAGGGGGTTGTTCCCCATTCCAATGGGATGTGACTGACACCCCTGGCAATCTAGGGAAGAGGGCTGGAAGGTGTTTCTCCTCTCTGCCCCCATGGGAGAAGGGTGCTAATAGCTAATGGGAAAGGGGAAGGAGTGAGTCTGGAGGGACTTACTCCTTCATTCAAGAAGCGAGCTGGCATTAGGGGGCGAGTGGAGGACTTATGCTCCTGGATCTTAACCACTGCTGTAAATGTGAGGTGACACCTGAAGGAGCTTTCTTTTTCCCCCTATCTTGAGCAAGTTCTGCTGTTCTTTGGAGTGAATCATGGGGACAGGTCTGGGCTCTGACTCTTCCACTTCCAAGGAATGGAGAAAGGATGGTTGGGTTCAGAAGCGGGCAAAAGCATGTGTTGCATGAACTGCACGGGTGGGTATTGCACTCGTGTGGCAAGAGACAGGATCCCCAGTGCACTCAGAAAGAGTGGCTGATAGTGGGGAATGCAGTAACCCTTATGTACGAGGAGGTGTGTTTACCTTTTCCAGCCTCCTCCCCCCTCCCCCCCCATATCTAGCATTGGCTAGTGCAGTAATGTGTTTGCTCCTCGGTACTGATTGCTTTGCGGGTAGGTCTAGTCCTTTCCCACTTCTGGAAATTAGGAAGGCAGTTCCAGTAACTCACGTCCTCTTTTTATAAAGAGGGTGCATGTGAGTATTTTGTGGCCAAGATCTTGTTTTGGAGCCACTGTATGGTTTGTGGGACAAAATACAGCCTAAATCATTCAACCAGAATTTTCTTGTATAATGTATTCAAAGGGGGAATTTAAGTCTTTAGTTACAAGACAAGAGTATTAGACTCAAAATACTTCCTTCCTTCATTCATGCAGAGTCCCTGATTTTTTTATTATAACTACTAGTAATTTCACTTTCAGTATGTAGGGAGATGCACCTTTGGATACACTAATCTTGTAATCTCCTTTGCTCTTTGTTTCACCCATTATGGCCTCCATCATCAATTCTTGACGATTGACTCTGATTTACTCGGGGCAGCGCTTACCGTTCTTTTTTTTATTTTAATACAGCAGTCTTCCTGCTGTTCCAACCAGAATTGTCTGATCACTTCTCCTGCCAGGTTTTCCTTTAGTGAGAATATTTTAGGTATTATGGTGACTGCAATCATGTGTGTTTTTAGTGGTTTGCTTATACCAAACATTTATTATCTGACCTCATGACTGATTGTGTTCACCTTTACATCAGCTATAACTTCAGCTTGTGCTCTAATTCATCAACATATTGCTCCAGCATTATAGTGGCTCATTTTTTAAAACCTTTACATTCATTTTTAAAGGTCTGATGCCGGGAAATAATCCCTTTGAAGTCTAGATGTAATTCATCTCCTGAATGCACTAGAATTTTACATTTAACCCAGGATAGGGTTGGGAATAAAAACCAACCAAAAATAAAAGAGAAAGAAAAGGGTCTACAGTGATGCTCTCAAGTCAGGAAACACCAAAGTATATTTGCCATCAAACCTCAACACTGTGGGTGTGCATTGTGGTGTAGTCTCTAATTATATGATCATATACTATTTCCCATGTAACCATACTTTTTTCCACTTAGGGTTAGTGCTGTAAACCACAGTTTATGCCATATAGACAATAAGTGCAGTGCATAAGGCAAGAGCTCCTATGGACTCTTGTCTCTCTATACATCCATCATGAATAAGTCAAGACAAGGAGAGCCCTGCTTCACTTATTGTATGTTAACATGTGCATCAGGCTATGTAGCTTCATAGATTGGAATAATGTTTACATTTTATGAAATATGTATGGCCTGTTGCACTCTTACAGGATATACAGAGAACGAGGCAGGGTTCCTGTTAACAGTGCTCATTTGCTACAGATGTTTTGTAAGCATTTGACTGTAGATAACTTATGCATGCATGTACTCTGTATACCTGACTTTGCTTGGAGTATTGCATGAGTGTTTAAAATATTGCTACTCTGCAAAATCAAAACCAGTCTTCAAGTGAACATCCAAAGGCACATCTCACAAAGGAAGCATCCACACAGTGTCACTCAGGAAAGTTAAGATGAATTAGTTAAAGATGTGAAAGTGAAAGCACATTATTAAACCACTATGGGATGCTCTCATTCAGGTGTAAAGTGGCCTCAGGCCAGATCTACACAAGGAGCACTTTGCCAGCATAGCTGTCCTTGTGTACCAATAAAGTGCTTCCAATGTGGATGCAGGTTTTGCCCTTCCATTGCTGTAGTGCAGGGGTTCTCAAACTGGGGGTTGGGACCCCTCGGGGTCGCGAGGTTATTACATGGGGGGTCGCAAGCTGTCAGCCTCCATCCCAAACCCCACTTTGCCTCCAACATTTATAATGGTGTTAAATATATTTTAAAATGTTTTTAATTTATAAGGGGGGTTGCACTCAGAGGCTTGTTACGTGAAAGAGGTCAACAGTACAAAAGTCTGAGAACCACCGCTGTAGTGTGTGTCTGTACAATGGGCTTACACTATCACGGCTGCGGTGGTGTAGCTATGTTGCTGTAACTCCCATAGTTATTTTGTCCATAGTTATTTGAGTCAAATATTTGTTGCAGCTTACTCAGCTTTCCTGTGGTGAACTTCATTAGCTGTTCAATAAATAGCAGTTACACATATTTGGTTAAAATTAGAAGTGGTTACAGTAAATTGCATAGCAATGTAAGCAGTGAGAGGCTTTCAGCCATACCAGGTTAATTTACTCTCCATACCATGAGCTCATGTTGTTTCCAGAGCTGTGTTGCTGTATTATATGCTTCTCTGCAAATTTTAGGTGAAATTCATCCCACTGTGGAGGGCCTGCTCAAAGCCCTGTGAACTACTTAAGGCCCTCTGTATTAAGAACTTAAGTGGTACATAGACCCTTCTGCGCTTCACTGGAATATGTTTCACCCTCTAATATTTCTTTTGGACTATTTCTGTGTTTTTAAAGTTAACACACAAATGAGGAACATGTGCTTATATTTTAAAAT